AATCTGCCTGCATCTCTGTTATAAAAGGCTAAACCCTCACCAACCATAGGTTATTTATAGTCACGACAGTGGCCTATGTCCTCGGTAAAAAATTATTTTCCCTCTTCCAATGAAAGACACTGTATAAGACACAACCAAGTTGAGCGTTCTCTATAATCAGATGATACAACGAAATTGAGATTGCACATGTTTTTCCTTTTGATAATTATTTTTCATTGTACTGACGAAAATAAATTGACATTGACACTACGTGATAATGGTTTTGAGCATATCTCTCTCTCTACCAAGGTTTATTCGGGATTTTACAAGCAATTATCTGGAGTTCGCAGTGTTATCAGAAACAAGGCAAGACCTTAAAAAAATGAAAGATTCACACACTCAGGGATGGAGATTTCATAATTGGGTGATAAATTATTTAGCACCCAAAAACAATGCCAGATGAAAATATTAGCCACTTATCGATAAGAATGGTTCTTATATGTCATTTAATGAAGTTGGAAACGTGCATAAATGCAATGTTAGATACTTTTATACATTGTGTTCCTTAACGATATGCGAATATTTTAGGGTGAGAATCTACCTGAAAAATTAATGTTAGTTTGCTTTATAAATTATGGTCCAAAAATGTTTCCTTACAAAAACTCGGGGTGTTGAGGTTTTAGGAAAAAAATGGAAATTAATTGATATTTTCAGAACCGCTTCAGATATTTCACTGATATTTAGCACGTAGTGAAAGTTAATAAAATTAAGAAAAACATGGTACGCCAATGGTTTTTTGCCAAATAAAAATTATTTTTGAATTTCCCGTTCAATTTAAAACAAATGATCGTTCTTGAATTGTTCTCCTTCGATGCGCCATTTTTGAGTAAACATATATAAAAACCGTTCTATTGTCCGAGAAAATTAATGTAATAATTGAAGAATGCAATTTAGCAATAAATATCTAGTTGCTCTGGAATATGTCACTGGCTTTTGACATCTGACAAGTCTCTGTATAAAAACAAATTTATAGAACTTTTGAGAAAAACAAAAAAAAATTACTACATAAAACAATTGAATAATAATTCACATGACTCTAGACACCTATGGTCCACTGTCAATGATATATTCAATAAGTCATCCTATTCAAAAAACAATATTAATGAAATAAAAACAAAAACAGGACAGAAAACAGACAATATTCAGCAAATATGTGATGAGTTCATAGAATTTTTCACGAATATAGGAGGAAACTTAGCAAATAATATCAAACAAAATGCTGATATTCATCTGCACGAAACAAGTCTGAATAATTCATTTGTATTAACTGAAGTAGACTATCAGGATGTTTTCAATGCCATTATGACTCTAAAAAATAAAAAAAGCCCTGGAGTTGACGAAATTAGAGCTGAACATCTAAAGATACTGGCCAAACAAATAACAGAACCACTTGCTTATATCATTAACAAATCCTTCCAATCTGGAGTATTTCCATCAGCTTTCAAGACAGCAATCATCATACCTATCTATAAATCTAATGATAATACGGACGTCACTAACTATCGACCTATTTCACTTATATCAAGTTTAGCTAAAGTTTTTGAGAAATTACTCCTTAATAAAATGATTAATTTTCTTAATAAATTCAAAATTCTAAATTCAAATCAATATGGTTTTATAGCGGGCAAATCTACAACAGATGGGGTATTAAGTATAGTAGATGAAATAACCCAAAATATAGATGGAAAAGTACCATCGATATGCGTATTTGTAGACTTACAAAAAGCGTTTGACACAGTTAACCACAATATATTTTTGGAAATATTAGAAAGAATAGGTTTTCGTGGAAAGATGTATACTTTAATGGAAAATTATTTATCAAATAGACCGCAATCAGTAAAATTATTAAGCTCGTATAGTAAAGAAATGTTTGTTAAATGTGTTGTTCCACAAGGTACAATTTTGGGTCCTCTGTTATTCAATATTTATTTAAACGATATATTCAAAATTAACAGTACTGGTAAAATAGTCAGTTTTGCAGACGATACTGCTATACTCTATAAAGGTAAGGATTGGAACGACTTAAAAGATATTATCCAAAATGACTTTTGCAAAATTATTCAGTGGTTTAATAACCGAAAATTAACAATTAACTTTACTAAAACTCATTTTTTACCATTTTCATCACTATCTAATCATCTACCAAAATATAACCACCTTCGGTTTAAGGTAAATGATAAAAATATAAAAATCAATAGAGTTAATGATACAAAATATTTAGGAATTTATCTAGATCCCCACCTGAGATGGGATGTACATATTTCTCACATACTAAAGAAAATTAGATTCATAGCATATAAAATAAAATTCCTAACCGGTATATTAACTGAATATTATCTACGAATAATATATCAAGCTTTAATCGAGCCACACATAACATATGGTATAGTAGTGTGGGGTGCTGCATGCACGACATACTTTAACGATTTAGATGTACTTCAAAGAAGAATTTTAAAATCAATGTTAGGCAAATCAAAATTATACCCAACTAATGACTTATATAATGATGCACAAGTATATGATACTAAACAACTTTACTTCTTACATACCATCACTCATTATCACAAAACTATTAGTGAACACGACATAATTAAACATAATCATAAAACCAGATATAAATTACGCGCAAAAAATGTTCCTAAACCAAACAAATCGCTAATGAAACGATGTCACCTGTATATAGCTCCAAAATTGTACGAACATTTACCAAATAATTTAAAACAATTACGCAATACATTAGGCTTCAAAAAAAATTAAAAAAATTTATTAACACGATTGGGAGAAATCAAATTAATAAAACAATCTCAAATATTACACAATAAATGCTCTACCATTCTTACCAATAATCTCTTTTTTCTCTCTATTTTATTATATTTTGCAATTCAACATACATATGATCCATGCACAGGCGTTGTCCTCCTATGGATATATTATATTTATTTACTCGTTTCATGTTCCCTGTATTTTAGAGTAAATAAATATTATTATTATTATTAAATTCAAATCTGTTCGCTGTAACATCTCCTTTATTTAGTTTTTACAATCTTGTTAATAATGGTGAATTATTCAAATGCAGAAATGGCGGAAATGCATTACGTATATGGACTTGCCTACGGTAATGGTGAGCAAGCCAGACGGATTTATCACCAGAGATATCCCGATCGTGCTTTGCCAGATACTCGAACCTTTTTCTAATATTCATCGTCGTCTTGTTGAAACTGGTTCTGTCCGAAAAGGAACATCTGAAGGTATACCTCTAAGTGTGAGAATACCTGAAATTGAGGAAGCAGTGCTGCACGAAGTCGAAGAACATCCTGAAACGAGTATGAGGAAGATCGCTAGACACTTAAATATTTACCATCAAATTGTTTGGAGAATTTTAGTGGATTTCTTATTATATCCTTACCATATTTTAAGAGTACAGGCATTACTTCCCGTTGATTTTCCAAGGCGTGTGACCTTTTGTCAGTGGTATCTTCAAAAAATTACACAAAATCCGCAATTTGAATCAATGATTCTGTTCACGGACGAAGCTAATTTTTCTCAAAATGCCATTCATAATTTCCACAATAATCATTTGTGGGCAGAAGAAAATCCCTATGCCTTAACCGAAACCCATTTCCAACACCAATTTTCGATTAACGAATGGGCAGGAATTATTGGCAACCACTTTATTGGCCCATTCTTCTTGCCGGGACGACTTGACGGACAGACTTACCTCAATTTTCTTCAACAACAGTTGCCTTTGCTGCTTGATGATGTTCCGTTAGTAAAAAGACACAATATGTGGTTCATGCATGATGGTGCACCAGCGCATTTCAGTGTATCAATTCGTAATTATTTACAAACTGTTTATCCAAATCGTTGGATTGGCCGCGGTGGGCCCCAAGATTGGCCACCAAGGTCCCCAGACCTCAAGAGTTTAGATTTTTTTTGTGGGGCTGTCTTAAGACACTAGTGTACACAAGTCCCATTAACACTGTAGAGGAATTAAGAGAAAGTATAGTTGCAGCTTGTGATAGAATAAAAAAGACTCCAGGGATATTTCAACGAGTGCGCAATGTTATATTGTCAGTTGTTGTTGTTCATTACCCATAATGTGTTTAATTTTTCCATTTAAATTAATAATAATTTTTCAAGTTAGACAATAGAACGGTCTTTATTTTTTTACTCAAAAATCGCGCATCGAAGGAAAGAAATTCAAATGAGATCATTTGTTTTAAATTGAACGGGGATTTCAAAAATAATTTTTATTTGGCCAAAAACCATTGGCGTACCATTTTTTTCTTAAAAAATATCGAAGTCAATACTCGTACGCACGCCGCTGTTAAAGCTAAAAATTACTTTTGCATTGAAAATATGCAACTTTATTAACTTTCACTACATACTAAATATCAGTGAAATACCTGAAGCGGTTCTGAAAATATGAATTAATTTCCATTTTTTTCCTAAAACTTCAACAACCCGAGTTTTTGGTAAGCAAACATTTTTGGACCATAGTTTATAACGCAAACTAACATTAATTTTTCACTTAGATTCACACCCTCAAATATTCGCATATCATTATGAAACACCCTGTATATAATTGTCGAAAGACATAGTATAACAATACATCAATTGATGCTATGATTACAGTCGGTATACCCCGTAAGCTGCTACTATAAGTAGTCTTTGATATTCAATATGTCTCTCAGAATTAGGTTGACCTGTTACATGCCAGATTAATTTGTCTAGGAAATAATACTCCATGTTCCTTTAGTCGCCATGCAATTGATATTTCCTCATTGTCGCCTTTGAACTAAACTTTTCGCATACCTAAACTATTAGAGTAGTTGGTAGATAGATTTTGCATGAGCATGTTGTGCAGTTAGATTAAGACCGACACCGACACCTCAAATTATGTTGTTATTATTGTGATGTATGGTAGAACATCAAGTATAATGTATTTGGATGTTGTGCAGAACAATTGGATAGAATCGAGGATGGAATGGACCAGATCAACACGGACATGCGGGAGGCCGAGAAGAATCTTACCGGTATGGAGAAGTGCTGCGGGCTCTGCGTGCTACCATGTCAGAAGTAAGTAATGACATGTTACAATTACGGTGGCTTCCATCCATCCAGGGTGTCCCAATATTCCGTGGACATAGAAATACCACGTATTTTTAGTCTCAAAATAAGTTGTTTGTACAATGATTTATCTCTGTGCAAATGTGCTCAGAGAAACTTTTTTATCGCCTTTTTATAAGAGAGAAAAATAAGTAAATAAAACAAATATATATATAAGAAAAAACCTAAGATTTCAATAGTTGGGAGAACTAAGTGGGAAGGGGCTCGTACAATAAGGCTCATGATTAATCATGAAAAAATTGAGGTAGTCGAATCATTTAAATATCTTGGTATATATGTGGATAGTACACTACTATTTCACGAGTATTATGAATACATTATTTTAAAAATATCAAAAAAATGCTTCTATAGAGTTTCCCTAATCTTAGTATGTATCCCAAAAAAATTGTACACTATAATTCTTCCCCATTTTTTATATTGTTCAACCATCTTCTATACAGCAAATGAAAACATATTTTCAAAATTACAAATTTTACAAAATAAAGCTATGAGAATCATTTTAAATAAGAACAAATATGCTAGGATTAAGTCTATGTTAGAAGAACTGCAGTGGTTGGATGTGAAAAATTTCATATATTATTAGTTCTCGTTTTCATATTCAAATTAGGAAATCATTTATTACCACCACATTTAGAGAACTTCACAAAATTAAATACCCATTATCATAACTACGAAACTAGAGGCAGTATAGATTTTTATCTGCAAAATTGTAATAGTAGCATAACTAGTAAATCTATATTTCAAAAGGGAGTATTTCGATTTAAGAAATTGAATAATGATTTTAAACAGTGTTCGAATTTAAAAATGTTTAAGGTGAAATTAAAAAATCACTTTAATAATCTAAATGCATAGTGATGTAATTTTAATAGACAAAAATGTAAAATGACAGAAAATGGGTTGAAGAAAAATATGTAAGCGAATAATTATACACAATTGACATTGTAGCATTAATGCTAAATAAATGTTCAACAAACAAACAATATCGGGTATTTCAAATTTACCCTCATCATTGGGATCTCGGAAACGCTAACAGATACGAAGTTTTTTTGAATGGGGCTATCAAATATATAACATAAAGGGTGTCTCAGAAATATTTTCGTTTTTAGATCAGTCCTCTGGCGGAATACGCATGCTCCGGAGAAACGAGACAGTTGACAAACGTTTGGCAACATTGTTAAATTTTAGTTGCAATGGAGCGTTTTACAGGGCCGCAACGTGCTTTTTGTGTTCGCGAGTTCTATAAAAACAAGGATTCTTATGTGCTTGTATGTCGTTTGTACAGAAATCATTATAACATAGCAAGAATGAGAGATGTCCCAAGCGCAAATTTAATTAAATATTGGGTAAGAAAGTTCGAGAGCACTGGAAACACGTGTATTAGTAAACCGCCTGGACGGCCAAGGTCAGCAAGATCGAACGAAAATATTGAACGTGTGCGCCAGTCCGTTAACGAGGATCCCCGGCATTCATTAAGACTGCGTGGAGCGTCTCTAACTTTGCATAAGTCAACTGTTCATCGCATTATTCGCAAGGATTTGCATTTTCACCCATGCAAGATTGTTGTTACACAACAATTAAAACCACAGGGGGGCCGAGCAGAACCCGCAAAATCTTCATGAGACGCCATTACACTCGCCTAAAGTTATCGTCTGGGCTGCTATGTCAGGGCAAGGAATCATTGGCCCGTATTTTTTTGAAGACAATCGTGGCCAAGCTCAAACTGTAACATCTGAGCGCTACTGCCACATGATTAGTACTTTTTTAACTCCAGCTATACAGAACCATGGTGGCTACAATAGAAACACGTTTTTCCAGCAAGATGGAGCGACTTCTCATGTCACGAATGAATCCTTGGATGCTCTTCATCAGTTATTCCCAGAGAGGGTCATCAGTCGCAGAGGAGACATTAACTGGCCACCGAGAAGTCCCGATTTGACACCAGCAGATTTTTTCTTATGGGGATACCTGAAGAGTAAGGTATACACCCCACCGCCACAAGATTTGAGAGAGTTGAAGCAAAAAATAACAGATGAAATAAACGCCATTCCTCGAGCAATGCTTCGGAGAGTGATCGAAAACTTCAGTTCGAGATTAAGAGAGTGTGAAAACATTAACGGTGCTCATTTATCCGATACTCTTTTCCATAAATAAAATTAATGTTTAGGCTTTCGTTTGGTAATAAATTTATCTTTGTAAAAATATTCTAAGTATTTTTATTTATGGCATAAAATAAGAAAATATTTATGAGACACCCTTTATATATCAAAATCGACGTGTCCCAGCGCTTTTACCGAAATATACCAGAAGACCCACAAATGAGCGTGGGCGTTGGGCCACCCTGTATATAGTGTTCCTGAATTTATACTAAATCTTGATATGTTCCTACACATGGGACAAAAATAGTACCAAGTTAATGCATAGATTTGTCCCATGTTTGAGAAAGACCCTATATCGAGCAAATGATGTGCGATAACGTTATGCTATTTTTTAAGGGGCTCATCATTTAAAGAAGATGAAGGTACCTGGAAAGGAAATGACGATGGTAAAGTTGTCAACAATCAGCCTCAGCGTATGATGATGGACAACGGAATGGGTCCACAAGGTAGTAACTGTAATAATAAGCTGTGATTTTTTTTTATTAGTGTACATACGTTGGGTGATATACATTCGTCCAACTGCATATACAGGGTGTCTGCAAAGTTTGGGTTTTCCTCTACACGACGTGTAGATCTTGAAAACATAAGCAATTTTTCTTAGTATCATATACACCAATGTCTTAAGGGAACCGAGATAAAGGGCTCTGAACATCAAAAATATCTGAATACCGTCCTGTAGCCGCGACCCGGGACATCACCGATTGGTACAAGGTCTCAACCCGACGGCAGAACTGGGTCGGGGTCAGTGTGTCAGGTCAGTATGCAACCTTCAACCGACGGTTACGGTCACGCATGTAGAGGTAATCGCGTAGACGAGAATCCCTCAACAAGCACTAGAGACGTGGCTAGAGAAGGGCAAGTATCAAAAACTAAAGTGTGGCAAACGCTGCGTGAAAAGGGGCTGTATCCGTTTCACGTCCAACGTGTACAATCCCTTCAACCTGACGATTTTCCAGCAAGAGTGCGGTTTTGTGAGTGGTTGTTGCATCAACATGACAATAATCCGGACTTTTTGAAGTGCATATTGGTGAGAGACGAATCTACGTTCACGTGTAATGGAGTGAATAACTTTCGCAACACTCATGTTTGGTTAGTAGAAAATCCGCACGCTGTCCGTCGGGCATATTTTCAACAAACATTTTCGGTGAATGTTTGGGCTGGCATGGTGAACGGTACGCTCATTGGACTATTTATTCCCCCAAATCGATTGGACGGGATGCAATACCTAGACTTTTTACGCAACATTTTGCCTTCCTTGTTAGAAGATGTACCATTAAGTGTAAGACAATCAATGTGGTTTCTGCGTCTGCTCGGTAGCGCTTCAGCTGATTTCATTTTCTGTTGGAGCGGTATGATTTCGGGCAGACACGTACTTAGCCCTTCTCGTCAACTGGAGAGTGAGTACTTTTTCCTTTATTTTTTTTTCACTTGGTCGCCCTCGTTTCACTACACATTACCTTTGTTATTTCAAGGGTAGTTGTTTCTGAAAAGGACAACCCCAACTTTGCGGAGTGTCCTCAAGGTTGGGGCTGTCCTTTCTAAAGCGTATAGACCGACCAATAATAAGGATGTTTTTTACGAACATATATACCAAGGCTTTGAGATTACCGGGATAATAGGTTCGAAAAAGCAATAAATCAACCGGTACGACCCTGCCACTCTCTTATCCCACAATACCCCCCACCCTCCCTAAGCCAACACGTATGATGTACTCAGACTATGTGAATCAGTCTTCAAACTAGGCGTCGCGTGCTGTCTAGGTTAACCTATTTAATAAACAAATCACGCTTGACAAACCGAAATTGACACATTCCTCGAGCAATATCGTATTGATACTCCGCGAGTGTACTCAGAACGTCACCGTCGTCTTCGATGTTTCGTTCCATCAGAGCAGCATATGTTTGTCTATATAGTGAAAACCCGTCTGGTTAAACACACGTAAAGACCTGGACAGCCCTAAATGTTGCAAATTTAGGCAAAGGTAAACAAACTCGTGTTTTGAATCGAACAGTGACAACTCCAAGCAGTGTTTACAAACAAAGCATGTGGCAGTACTTGAAATTCCGTACCAAATGAATAGTGAGAGGAGTCTTCTCCAATTTCTTTTTCACATTTTCGGTGTTGTTTTGCCGCAAATTAGCTTTGGTATTGCAAACGTAGTTAACTCTGAAAAGGAAAGTCCCAACTTTCAGGAGACCCTTTATAAAACACCTTTTTATATGTACAGTGCTTTTCTTTAATGTCCCCGATTTATTTTTTGAACTGGTCAATCAAAAATCAGGTGAAGGTCAAATCAAAAGATTACATTATTAAGGAAAAAGATTTTTTGTGCGAAATGCTTGATTAGCATTGGAAAGATATTATTATCAAGGGCCAAGTTTTCATAATGTAGTTAATAAGAGGAAATGACACTCAACTGATTTTTATCAGTCTATTTATTCACATTATTCTGGGTGAGGGAAGTATGAGCCCTTAAAATAAACGCTTTGAAGGATATTTTTCTCTCCAAATTATACAGGGTGTCCCAGAAGTCGACGTCAAGCCGAAACCGGGTGATAGGCAAAGTCATAACAGCTATCAGAAAAATATTTAAAAAAATGTTATGTATGTGTTTTGAAAATTAAAGGTCTTTGAAAAAAATATAGAAATTTCACACCCTACGGCAGTCTGTCAACTCCTGTTACTACAAATATTAACTTTTTTTGGATTTCATTTTTACAATGTAATGATGAATAATGCATCTTCAAACTGGTGTCTCAACCTTACTTCCAACTTTTCTTGTTCAGGAAAAATTGCCACTTATTTTCCAACCAAGTATTCCAAAGTAAGACTTTGCTCAACTTTAACTGGCTGTACTGGAAAAAAATGTACTACGAGAGTTTGGCAAGTAACCTTAAAAGTTGCCGCATTTAATAAGGATACCAAAATGGTATAACACTTAGAAGATTACTCGTTAACTTATGCACAATTTTTATTTGAAGAAAAACTGATGAAAATTTTTCAAAATTTCCTAATTAAACAGCGATTATGAACACGCACAAGGACCCTTAAGGATAACTGTTTGCACAACAGTGGGCATCAAAATGCTGCTGATGATGATTTACCTTTACAGCAAATGCTCAAACTGTTTTCCTTCAGCCGCAATGCACGCTCAACATCTTCTTAAAAAAGATCGGGTTATTAAACGAGCGAATCCACGGTTATTAACAAACTCAGCTGCTTCCAATAGTCTTTGCCGCAGCTCAGCTACATTTTGAATCGGCTTGAAATACACTTTTCCTTTTACAGTTCCCCAGTAAAAAAAATCTAACGGATTCAAATCTGTTGACCGGGCTGGCCACGGTATTGTACCAGACCGCCCTATCCATCTGCCTGGAAAGTTTGGATCGAGATACTCTCTCACTGAGGGTGCATAGTGCGCTGGGCAGCCATCATGCTGAAACCACATGTCCCTGTAAATACTCAGTGGCACGTCCTCCAATAAATTTTCTAAATGATTTTGCAAAAAACCTAAATAAACCTCAGTAGTCAAAGCCTCTGGGAACTCAAACGGACCGATTATTTTACCATTTAAAATTCCTGTCCAATGGTTTATCTTGAAGCGATATTCCACATACAGCGTGTTCAACCTCTCCTGCCCCTTGATTATGAGCCCCGAGTTGCTTATTGTCGCACAATGTTAGAAAGACACAGGAAAGATCCACAGTTCTTTGAAAAAATTTTATGGTCGGATGAGACCACATTTAAGAAAGATGGGTACATGAACCTGCATAACTTACACGAGTGGCACGTAGCAAACCCACATTTGATGAGAGAAGATTAATCTCAATATCGCTTCAAGATAAACCATTGGACAGGAATTTTAAATGGTAAAATAATCGGTCCGTTTGAGTTCCCAGAGACTTTGACTGCTGAAGTTTATTTGGATTTTTTGAAAAATCATGTACAAAATTTATTGGTGGACGTGCCACTGAGTATTTACAGGAACATGTGATTTCAGCATGATGGCTGCCCAGCGCACTATGCACTCTCAGTGAGAGAGTATCTCGATCAAAACTTTCCAGGCAGATGGATAAGGCGGTCTGGTATAATGCCGTGGCCAGCCCGATCACCTGATTTGAATCCTTTAGATTTTTTTATTGACGAACTGTAAAAGAAAAAGTGTATTTCAAGCCGATTCAAAATGTAGCTGAGCTACGGCAAAGACTATTGGAAGCAGCTGAGTTTGTTAATAACCGTGGATTCGCTCGTTTAATAACCCGATCTTTTTTAAGAAGATGTCGAGCGTGTATTGCGGCTGAAGGAAAACAGTTTGAGCATTTGCTGTAAAGGTAAATCATCATCAGCAGCATCTTGACGCCGACTGTTGTGCAAACAGTTATCCTTAAGGGTCCTTGTGCGTTTTCATAATCGCTGTTTAATTAGGAAATTTTGAAAAATTTTCATCAGTTTTTTTTCAAATAAAAATTGTGCATAAGTTAACGAGTAATCTTCTAAGTGTTATACCATTTTGGAATCGTTACTAAATGCGCCAACTTTTAAGGTTACTTGCCAAACTCTCGTAGTACATTTTTTTCCCGTACAGCCAGTTAAAGTTGAGCAAAGTTTTACTTTGGAATACTTGGTTGGGAAATAAGTGGCAATTTTTCCTGAACGAGAAAAGTTGGCAGTAAGGTTGAGACACCAGTTTGAAGATGCATTATTCATTATTACATTGTAAAAATAAAATCCAAAAAAAGTTAATATTTGTAGTAACAGGAGTTGACAGACTGCCGTAGGGTGTGAAATTTCTATATCTTTTTCAAAGACCTATAAATTTCAAAACACATACATCAAATTTTTTTAAATATTTTTCTGATAGCTGTTATGACTTTGCCTATCACCCGGTTTCGGCTTGACGTCGACTTCTGGGACACCCTGTATACGATGGAATGTCCTGTAGATCTGTAGATTTGATTCCATGTTTCGAGGTGTGCCTTCTTTTTGTTTGGTCGAATTTGAGACTATCTCAAATTTTATTTGGTTGTCAGAATTTGAATCTGGTTCACAAATTTTATGTCCGGGATCAAATGAAAATATAGTTTTTTTTATAATGAAGCATTTCTCTATTAGTATGGGATCTGGGACTCCATCTGTACAGAAATCGTGTAGCTGAACTTGACTCTTTCAAAATACAAATGGGGCGAAATTGAAGAAAAACTGTATCTTCAAACTCGCTTGCCTAATTTTTGTGTTAATATTTTATTCAGTACTAAAGCATAAAAAATAATACATAAAATTAGCGAAACTCGTATTTTATGACAAATCCAAAAATTGTACCCTGCTGTTTGACAAAACTTTTTTAATATTAAGGTGGTTACATCGGCCGTATCACGAATGATGCCCGCGAGGACGAAATGGAGGAAAACGTGGGCCAAGTGAACACAATGATCGGCAACCTGCGAAATATGGCCATTGACATGGGCAGCGAATTGGAGAACCAGAACAGGCAGATCGACAGGATCAATCTCAAGGTAAAATTCTTGAATGATTTTGACGGATGCCTGTTAGTGGTCGTGATTACTTTCTCGAATTTTTACAGTGAAGCCTCACGGAATTCATAGTTGATATATGGCAACGAAGGTTAGGTGATATGTTGATCAATTTCCGATTACGTCGATAAAGACGGCTGAATATAAGAATTATTCACTGAAAGTACATTGTACAGTCCAATTTTGCTCTGGAAAACAAGATTGAAATCGCTCTAAAAGAAACTATATCGCAAAATATTTTTCAAGTTCTTGTAGAGCATAGTTTTATCTTTAAATTGTATCACTATGGAGTTGAAGGACCTCTATTCAAAATTTTATAAAACTACTTACTTGACAGAAGCCAAAAAACCAAAATTAGATCTACATTATCAAACTGAAAAAATATTTCTGTTGGTGTACCACAAGGTTACAAACTAAGTCCACTACTGTTTATTTTATACATTAATGACATTTGTAATATCTGAGATTATTGTAAAATTCAGATATTTGCAGATGAAGCATTAAAATACATATCAGATGAAAATATAGACAATCCTTTAAAAATGCTAAATTCTGACTTCTCAATCATAAATTGGTGAAATGTAAATAAACTAAAATTAACTGATTCTAAAACAAAATGTATGCTAATATGGAAATACCTAAATGAAAATACTATCACTGTTATGGTAAATGGTAAAATAATTGACAATGTTGAATCAATTAAATATTTGGGTATATACATATATATAACTAATGTTTGAGGATCACTATGAATGCATTACTTCAAAGTTTCAAAAAAATACAAATTACTTTTATAGGACTTGACATATTCCAAAAAATAGTTTGTAATACAATTATTCTACCGCATTTACTATGTTGTTCAACTATCTTGTTCACTGCCAATGAAGCTGAGTTCTCAAAATTGCAAGTCTTCCAAAATAAAGCTATGAGAATAATATTGAATAAAAATAAGTACACAAAAATAAAATCTATGTTACAAGAATTGCAGTGGTTGATTATTAAGAATTTCATATAATTGGTTCTTATTTTTATATTTAAAATAAAAAATGTCTTGCCACAACATTTAAAACTCTACATAGAATTGAAAAATCGATCACAATTATTATAGAATTATAGATTCTCATCGACAAAGTTGCATTAGTAATATAACTAGCAAATCAGTATTTCAGAAAGGATTACTTGAACTTAATAAGCTAAATAATGATATAAGTTCTATTTGTAATTTAAAGAGTTTTAATGGACAATCAAAAGATTGAGAAAGTATAAAGATCATGGACCATGAAAATTCTTAGAGATGCAATTTTTGTTTTCCTAAATATGTTTATGTTATATAATCGTTGTATTTTTTTTAAAAGAATGTAACTGCTGCAATCATGCTAAATAAATATAAAACAAACAAACTTACATTCTTGGCGATCTCAAACATCATTTTTATCCAAGTTTTTAAGCACAGTAACCCAGATAAAAAAATTTTTACCAATTTTTCAAATAAATTACAAGTGTTTTGCCTGGATATTTTTTCATATTTTTATCATTCCGAACAAAAAAGACTTTTATTATCTTTTCTCTAAATCTGACCATTTTTGAGTTATAAGCCCTAAAAGTGGTTATTCCAATGCCTAGCAATCCGATTCAAAATTATTATAATTTTTAATGTCGCCAAGTAGTGTTAAATGAAATTTAAACCTTGTTTTAGAAGACCTCGAAAAATATTTTGACATTACTTTATTTTAAAGCGATTTTTAATCTTGGCGAACTTTTGGTTCTCGCATACTTTACATAAATATACATATATTTAAACTGTAAAGCCCCAACTACTTTATACTAAAAATTGAAACTGTTGTCCATTGCTGTGGATCGATCGTGGGTGTGTAAGCTATTCAATAAATGAATGAACTGCTCAAATGTGTATTCTATACAGCGTGTCCCGAAATTGAAGAATAGTCCTGGAAATGTAGCTAGGTCACATCATGGCGTACCTGCTGGTTCATTTTGTTTTAGTAAAAATCTTATAGTATTCGAGATTTTCAGCATTGAGTTAAAAAAGACTGGCTTATGTTCTGTTAACCCCGTGCCATTTCTACAAATATCAACTTTTTTAGGCCAGGTTTGTTTTAAAACATTCAGAATCAATCAATTCAGCTCGACCAACGTTATTTTTCTTTAAGATGGCGAAAAACCCACATTAAAGTTATGCCAAAGTCTAAATTTTCATTAATGCTGGCGATATTGTTCAAACAGCATCATGGTAGATCAGGCTATGCGGCTTATCCATGGCCACCGAGATCGTTGGACTTAAATCCACTTCATTTATCGGGGTTGCGTGACTTCGAAGTTGAGTCATTTATTTTAACAGTGAGTAGATCTGATCAAAAGAAATGTTTTTTTTTCCTTTACCATTTTTCTGGTAAAATTAAAGTAACAAAGTTATAGCCCTTTGGAAGTTTGAGTACCGCCCTGTCTCAATAATAATATTATGTGCTCGTGTTTGGCGACAACGGATATAATTCGCCTTATCGGTTCATCGCATCGGAAACAAAAAAGCGAAAGAATTTGGAACGATGTTTTTACAATTATTTCATTCAGTTGTAAACAGTCAGTGTCAGTCGGTAGTGTATAGTGGTGTCTGTTGCGTGGCTCAAACGAAATAAAAAATGGCACATGTTTATGCGGATCGGTTTCCCAATCGAGTGCAACCAACCCCTCGTGCCTTTGTTAATGTAGTACAACGGGTTCGTGAATCATTTGAATTAAGACCTCACATATGGACGGCATGCCGGTGCTCCAAGACCTCACGATCAAATACAGGTCCGCACTGAAATACTTGTCGGGAGGATACTTTATAAAACAAGGTAAAATTTTTTTTTAATTTTTTTTTATTTTTACACACATATTTTGGTTTATCTTCCTTCTACAATCATTATCTGAAAATTAATGACTCAACTTCAAAGTTACCCTGTATAATTTGTATACCAAGCTGAGCTGACCACCAGCCTCGAGCATGCTAGCGTTTATTTTTGTAGGTTAAAAAAATGTTTTGAGGAAAAATGTGTAACAATGTAAATTTTTTGTATCTAAAAAAAAACGAAAATATAGCAAAGGGCGAATAATAATACCATTTATAAATTGCCAATAGTTGTCCAACTTTTTTAACTAATTGGTACAGTGAAGGTACTTGATCCATTCACTCTACAGGGTGTCAAAATCTGACGTAAGGAGGGGTCTTGATAAAAATTAAGACCTTGGCATGACATTCTAAGTGGTTCAAAACAAAGTTGGTCCAAAAAAGTTGATATTTGAAATGGTTCGAAGTTAACTAAATACAAGGCATTTTTTTTTAAATTGGGTGCTGAAAATCTCGAAAACTATAACACTTTACAGTTGCAAGATTATCTTTCAACTTCGGGACACCCTGTATATTATCATGAAGCATATCTGGTAGTACACGGAAAAAAATAATACCTAAACGAGCTTGGATTCATTTTTTTTTTAATTGAGTATTCTAACCTATAATTATTGTTTTCTTGAGGTATCATGGTAATTCCATGAGATTATAATTAAAGTTATTTGTTTTACTACCATCACCTAAATATAAGGCAGCGGTAAACTTGAAGAAATTAGGTTTCATGATGTATTTGACATTAGTACAATTGTTTTGAATCAGTTGCCATATATCTATCTTGATATTCAGTTTTGGCTGAGGTTAACTAATACAAATAATACATAGTTACCAGTAGAAGAGCCGCCACTTAGTCGAAGACACATATTCTGCATCGGTGGCTGTAAAATGCTACCTGCCATTTGGTTGCTATCATCCATTGTTTTCCTGCGATGATAGTCAAGGAAGTGAAAAATATTCTGATTAGTTTTTTGCATAAACTTAACAAAACAGAAACAATGTTTGATGCAATTTTAGGCGTGATTTGTTAAAAGGGATCCTTTATTAATAAGGCTATGCAAAAAATTAAAATATTTCTTCGAGCAGATGCGAAGATATTTCCTGGGCTATAAAGCGCGACTCAAACAAATAAACAAGGTATACTTTATCTGAAGTCACTTGAAACACTGTGAAATACCGGGTGCGTTTTATATATCCATATTTAACACGCTCTGTTGCTGCAAATATCGCCAAATTTCGCAGCAAATATCCCCCGTATAAGATCAAAGGCAGTTTCACCGGTCCACGTGGAGTAAAGCACGCCTATGCGTGGACATAGCCAATGAGAAAGCGTGTATTTCAGAGCTCCGAACAAGTGCAGGTGGCTACTGAAAATTGAAACAGTTTAGCCAGTGCCGTGTAGCCGTGAATAAACGTGTTTTCTTTAGTCTGTCCGTGTTTTTTCATAGATTTTATTAGTTTGTGTGTTTTTGACTTTTGAATACTCAGTTTACTTGTTGATTTAATTGTTGTGTTGATTGTTCTTGTGTGTCCTAAATATGGCTCTTTGGAGACCTTGGGAAAATGCTCCAAGCCACGAGGAGATGGTTGATGAACCTGTGCAGGCAGAATTCTTTCATAAAGATTTAGAGGAACAGACCCAAAGAGTAATCCTAAATATGTATGATTGTCTGAAAAACGAAAATCCAGATTCCTCGCAAAATCAAATTTTAAACAGAATTTGTATCCTGACAAAAATCAGTCGGTCTACCATTTATCGGGTTATAAAAAGGTGAGATGTAGTCAACCATTCCTTCCACAGAAAGCGCATAGGGCAAAAATTAAAAAGAATAGACGTGGATTTTCAGGAAGATATTCGTCGTATAATATACGGATTTTATAAAGAAAATTTGGTGCCCACGTTGGAAATGATACGGGATAAATTAAAAGATTAACCAGAAGATTTTTATAATTACAAATGCTTAGACTCACTGCACTGTATTGTAAAACTGTGTGGTTTTCAATACAAAAAATTAGATAAAAGAATGGTGATTATGGAGTCGTCTCGAATCGTTGAATTGCGCCAAGAATTTTTGCACAAAGT